TGGGGGCGCGGCTGGTGGGGCGAGCGCTGGGGGCGCGGCGGGGCACGGCGCTGCGGCCGCGGGTGGACTGGGGTGCCGGGGAGGCGCTGGTCTCGCGGCGCTTGCGCTCCAGGAACTCCTGCTGGTCAGCGGTCAGGCCGTTGGCGGCGGCGGGGGCGGGGGCGCTGAAGGAGGAGGGGGCCGGGGCGGAGGGACGGCTGGTGGGGCGGGCGCTGGGGGCGCGGCGGGGAACGGCGCTGCGGCCGCGGGTGGGGGCGGCGGAGGGGGACGCGCTGGACTCGCGGCGCTTGCGCTCCAGGAAAGCCTGCTGGTCGGCGGTGAGAGTGGCAGCCTGGACGCGCAGGCGCTGCTGCAGGTAGGGGGTGGGGGCAGGCGGCGGCGGAGCAGGTCAGTGGGTGGCGGCAGGGAGGCTCAGGGGGCTGCTTCGGCAATGGCTGGCGACAAAAAGAGCCGTGCAGACTGGCTGGGAGGCAGGGCTGGCACCCTGACGCAAGCAAGTGCAGGGCCCTGCTGCCGCCGCCTGCCATGCAAGGGAGACCAGGAGGGGCCTCCCCTCGCAGCTGCAGCGGCGCACCTGCTGACCACGGCTAGCGCGGGCGGAGCTGGGGCGGCCGACCGCGAAGGTGGCGCGGGAAGAGAGCTGGAGGGCCTGCATTCTGATGGGTGGGCTGGCGGGGTGACCAAACGAGGCGGGCAGGCTGTGGCACCTCGATGGCAGGCTCGCAGGGAATGAACTAATGCGCAGAATGAGGCGATGATGCTGGGGCCGGCTTTTGTGGCCATCGCATGTGTGGGTGTTTCACCCACACGCCACGCCCAGCACGGGCCGCCCCAGCAAGTGGCGGAGGGCGCAGAAGACGTTGCGGTCCTCACTACCACAACAGATGGGATGGAATGGCTGCCCACAACGTGATTCAACTTGCGTGCCTCGCTCAGCATTGCCTCCCGCTCTGCTGCAGCACCTCTGCCGCCGCCACCGCCACCCATGCCACCAGGCCTGGCTGCTGGCTTGCAGCAGGCCAGTTACATGCCACAAGCTGCAATGCGGCGGCACCATGGATCCCCAGGCCATTGCACCGGACAATTTGCCTGCCGCCTACTTGCGGCGCCACACCATCGCGTGCGACACTCCCCACTGGAACTTGCGCCGGTGCTCCCGGATCACAAACGGCACCTCCCTCTCCTCCACCAGCGAAAAGTGGTCTGCGGCAGGCCAGCGCGGAGCGAGTGGGGCGCAGGGTAAGCTACACAGGCTGGGGGTAGGTCCCTATGTGAGCAAGCGGCTGGGCGCCGGCCAGCCAGGGGCCGAGGCGAGCGGTGCCTGCACCCCAGCAGTTCCAGCAGTAGCAGCAGTTGTGCAGGCCTCGCGCACCTCCCACCAGCTGCTTGAGTGAATCGGCCGTCCACACCGCTTTGCCCTCCTGCACAGCCAGCAGCGGCAGGACGGCACTGGCGACATCAGCCGGCATGCTTCGCGCAACTTGGCGGTGTGAGCTCCTGGCAGCATGCATGCTGAGCAGGCATGGGGGCGTTAGGTGATGTCGTCACCAGTCAAGTACGCATCCCCAACCAAGCGTGGCAGCGCATGCAGCCAGCTGGCAGCAGGCAGCACAGGGCAGCAGGCGCGCCTGGTCCTTGAATCCTCCCAGCCACTTTTCCCGCGCCGTCCAGGCCGGCAGCCAGCTGTAGGGGCTCACCAGCACCAGCACCTGCAGCCAGGCGGGGACCAGAGTGTGCGGGAATGTTGGGGCCAGGGCGCGGGGCGCCTGCGCTGTGTAGGCATGGCTGTGCAGCACGGGGCTGACACATGCAGCCTGCGCTGCACTCCACGCGCCTTACCCCGCCAGGCTTGATGAGGGAGGGCAGGCGGGCCAGGAAGGTGGTGGGCTCAGGTAGCCGGCACAGCAGGTTTGCGGCAAGCACTGCAGGTTGTAAGAGTTGGGGGCGGCGGGAGATGCAGAGGGGTGGGAGCCTCGGCTGGGCCAGCAGCTGCTCCCTTTCAGTCCAAGGAAGGCAGGCAGAGCAAGGCAGGCCGGCTGTCACACCTGCATCTACTGGGCCCAGCTGCGCCGGCAGGCTGCACGCGTCGCCCTACATGGGCAGCACAGGGAGGCCAGCACCGGGTCAGCACGCTTAGTAAGGAAGCGAAATGGCGGCCCGGCTGGGGCGGTGGCACTAGGCCCCATACCGTCCCGCCCAATCTGCCCATTGCCATCAACATGCGGCACATCATCTTCACATGCAACAATACACCACCACCACCCATGCGCGCGCGTGCGCGCGCGCGCGCACACACACACACAGCCGCCGCCACCCTCCAACACAGCGCGCGCCTTGCCTGCTGGAAGCGCACGCGCGAGCGGTCCACGTCTTCGGGCACCGCCGCCACACGCTCTGCAGTCAGCTCCCCCTCCTCTGCCGCCGTGTACCGCATCCACCCCCGCTCCTTCATCGTCTGCGCGGCCCCAGCCACAGCGTGGCAGGTCGGCGGGAGCGAGCAGGACGGGGAGGGAATGCCGAGGAGCAGCAACAGGCCAAACAGGGCCGCAACACGGCTTGCTGCCGCTGCGCCCCGGCTGCCCCAGCCTGGGCGCCTGCTCCCCGCTACTGGCACTACAGCACTGGTGCTGCCGCCCTCCCTGGTGCACCCACAGCTCACGTTGGCTGCGTCCACAAAGTGCTGGGAGAAGTCGATTCCCAGCACGTGCGGGAAGGCGCGGGCGAGGGCAAAGGAGGCGCCGCCCACGGCGCAGCCGACGTCCAGCGCCGTCGCCTCGCCGGCCTCGCCTGCTGGCGGGCGGGCAGCTTGGCAGCATGGGGCGCGGGCGAGGACATGCATGGGTAGCCCTGTGCGGCATGCATATGGTCCACCACCCTCCGGCAGGGTGGGCCCAAGATGGGCCAGGCATGGGCCAGGCATGCGAGCAGCCAAGGCAGCACATGCTCCCTCTGCGCGCTGCTCACCGGTAAAGTCCCGCAGCGAGGGGCAGTGCCGCTCGCACAGCAGCGCCAGCTCTTCCGTGAACCGCAGCGCATCCTGCAGCCAACTCCCCGGGGCTGGGTGGGCATGTGCACGTGTGCAGGGCACAGCGGGAGCCTGGCACGCATGGCGGCGGCGGGCCCCTGCCGCTCGCCAGCACGCCGCCGCTCCCGGCACCCAGCACCCGCCTTGGGTCCCACATTGTAGGGCATGACCTCGTCTGGCTGGCCAAAGTGGAATTGCAGGTACTCCTCCACGGCCTTGCGCGTTTCGTAGGCGCCCGCGCCGCCTCCTGCCGACGAGGTCGTGCTGCGGGTGGCGTCTACTGCTGCCGCCGCCATGCCGCCGCGCCGCCGCTGCAAGCGCCGCTGCAAGCGCCGCCACAGGGCGGGTGCCAGACTGGCGGCCGTGGCGCCTGCCAGCATCAGCAGCATCTTCTGCCGCAGCGGGCTGTCGGAGGACGCCATCTGGAGCGCGAGCGGCCTGGTGCTGGGCACAGAACCACGCTGCAGGGGCGTCAATAGCATGTAAGATGTGCGGCAAACGCGATCGATTCGGGCTCAGCTGCTGCATTGCCCGGCTGGGGCTGGTCAGCCGTTGCCGCTCTCCGGAAGAAACTCGAGGTTGCCTGGCCAATTGCGCCCAATTGGCCTCCCCAGGGCGCACTCACTGCTGTTAGCGCGCACCTCCAAGCACCTGAAACCAATGCAGGAGACGATGGAGGGTTCCGCACCTCGAGTGCGCTCCCAGAGCATCGGCAGCATGTCGCAGCTGCTGTTGGCGGGATGGGCGATGCTTGCCGACTCCTGCCCGGACTGCGGGGTGCGATGAGGCCTGCCTGGTTTGCCACTCCACTGCACCTGATCGGTTCTCAAGGTGCCGTTTTTGTGTCAGCGAGAGCAGAAGGTCGGCACTGTGCACACAGTCAACTCGACGCCTGCCGGCCCTGCCCGCCGCCCTCCCACAGGTGCCGCTCATGCGCCACCCCGCCGGGTCGCCTCTGCTGTGCGTCAACTGCGGCCGGGAGACCACCACCGAGGCGTCCGCAGCGCAGGCGGCGCCAGCCCCAGCACCTGAGCCAGCCGAACCAGAGGATGCGCCACGAGCAGTAGCGGCACTGGCGCTGCCGCAGGCCAATGGGGTTGGCCACAGCGGCAGCTGCAGCGATGAGGAGGAGGGCGAGGAGGCGGGGCTCCTTCCTGCTCCGCCGCCGCTACGCACCCGCCTGTATGCCGCCCTGGCAGCAGCGCAGCCTGCAGACGACAGCATCGGCACCAGCGGCGCGCCCCTCGCCGACTCGCTGCGTCAGGCCGCGCCCGCAGGCGCGGCAAGGCCGCCTGCGGCCGGGCCGCAGGCTGGACGGCAGCAGGGCCGCGATGCCAGCAAGGAGATAGCTGAGCTGATGCTGGATGGGTGGGCCATGTTGGCAGACCACTGCCCCATGTGAGGCGCCGAGCATGGGAGTGGTGCCGGGCTGCAGCTGTCTCCGACCCCACCCTTGCTGCTCTCGCTGCCGTGTTTGATACCTGGCTCGCTACTGACGCCTGGCCTCCCCTGCATATGCGTTGCCTGCGCCGGTGCGCAGAGGCCAGGCTGCGTGTCCGCGCTCTTTTACAAGCAGCAGTCAGACGCGTGTGCCCGCCTGCCTCCCACCTGCCCGTGCAGCTGCCTGAACCCGCTGCTGCGCTCGAGGGACCGCCGTGTCTACTGCGCCGGCTGCCAGCTGTATGTGGTGCGGGAGGGCGAGGAGCAGCTCGGCGGGGAGGCACCGCAGCAGCAGCAGCAGCAGGAGGGCCAAGGGGCGCCAACGCCCGCCGCGGAGGCAGAGCAGGCAGCTGCCCAAGCCGCCCAAGGCGGGCTTGTGCGAGACATGCAAGCTGCAGCATTCCATGCACCAGCCTCTGGGACGGCGCAGCTCCAGCTGAGTGGCGTCCCTGCCCTGCAGCAGCACTTGCCTGCCGTGGACGCTGCAGCAACGGCGGTGGCGGCACGCCTGGCGGCAGCGGCAGCAGACCTCGCATCGGTGGCGCCCACGGCGGCGCTCAGGCTGTTGGCAGAGGTGCAGCAGTGTGCCGCAGCGCTGCAAGCGCTGGCCGACTGCCGTCGTAGCATGGCGGGAGGGCCTTGAGTCCTTGGTACAGAGAAAGTCGTCGTACCCCTGCTCTGCCAGGTAGGCGCGCCACGCCGCCTGGTGGGCCTGCAGTCTGGACAGCTTCGATGCACGGGAGCTGCCGATCACGCTCTTCTCTTCATTCAACGGCTCGCTGCCACATTCTGTGGATCAGCAGCCTTCGCCAGGGCGTCAGTTTCGTCTTTGACCCACTTTCCTCCTCCCCAACTCGCCCGTCTGTGTCCTCGCAGTGCCTTTCCGGCAGCTTGTCGAGCTTTGGCAATCGTGCGATCGCTCCGGCGTGTAACAGCGAGCATGGTTGGGGATGGGCGGCACATGTGAACCCAGAGCGTGCTGGTGCCTCGCATTTTGTAACCGCAGCAGGTTTGTGATCGCGGCGTTTGCGACGCGTGTCGGGCGCTCGCGATCATCTCGCCCGCCGAGCCAGACCTCGATGGGGCCCCTGCCCACTGGCCATCTGGCCGGCAGTCCTGTCCTGACTGCCGACCCTTGAACGCAGGGCTTTCACTGAATCCCGCCTTGTGGCGACATGCTGCGCAAGCTCTCCTCGGCGCTCAGCCTAGAGAGACCTGTCAGCCCCCGTATACACCCCGCCGCGGCCGTGCCACCAGCCGACGGCGGCGAGGCGGCGGCGGCAGCCGAGGCGGCGGCGGCAGAAGCGGCAGCAGCAGAGGAGGCTGATGGATTAGAGGCGCCCAGCCTGCGGGCAGAGAGCCTGCGTGCCACCTATGGTTATCAGCCCACCGTTAGCGTGGTGGTGCAGCAAGAGGCGTCAGAGGGTGGCATGCCCGACAGCCGGGCGACGCACCCTGCACCAGGCGAGGCAGAGCACACAGCAGCAGCAGCAGAGCAGGGACAGCCTCCGCCCTTGCCCCCGCCGCCGGTGCGCGTGCCGGTGGTGGCGTTGACGGTTGCTGCCGGCGACGTGGCGGCGGCAGCGGCGGCGGCGCCAGCAGGTGGCAGGCAGCAGGCTGCAGCAGACGGCGGCACGCCCATCGCTGCCTACAAGCGGCGGGGGCAACGCATCTCTTTTGCGGATGTGCCCAGCATCTCGCCGCCGCCGCCGCCACCGGCAGCAGCAGCAGGGCCCGCCAAGCCGGCACCGCTGCAGCCCACGGGTCCGCCCAGCCATGCAGGCCCGCGCAAGTCTCTGACCCGCACCAGCCTGCTGGGTGGGTGTGCAGCCCTGGCCTCTTTGCTGCCGCCGGCTTGCCTGTGCCCCTGCCTGCATGCCGGGCCGGGCTTGCCACTCGTTGGCCCCAGGCACCCCAGCAGCTGCGCTGGTGCCGGCACTAAGTGAACGCGCCGCCGACTTGCGCCGCGCCCCTTTCTGCAGCCATTCCGATGTACCCTGTCGCGCGCCTGAGCCGGCACGACAGCGAGGGCACAGGGGACGATCGCAAGAGCTCGGGTGCGTGCTGCGGCCCGCTGCTTGCGGTATGCGTGGCGCCATCGGGCGCAGGCGCAGGCGGTGCAGCCTGGCAGCATGCCCAAGCTCCTGCTCTGTCTGTGTGCCCCCCCGCTGTGTGCCCCGCCATTCTGTCCCGTCTCCCGCAGCGACTGCAATTTCGCGCCCGCCCCCGCCTGCCCGCAGTGTTTGACTTGCTGGACCGCAAGGGAGGCAAGCCGCAGGCGCGTTGGAGGGCGGGCCTCAACGCCTTCCTGCAGTCGGGGGCGTGCCTGGCCTCCTCCCTCCTGCTCACCATCATGGTGCGGCATGCAGCCTCCGCAGCAGCACTGCGCAGCGCTCAGTGCTTCCACCGCACCCTCCGCCTGCCTGCATGCATGCATGCTGCGGCTGCTGCGGCACCCTCCACCTGCCTGCTGCTGCTGCTGCTGGCTGCTGCCGGCTGCCGGGCTCCCGCCCGCACGCACGCACCACGCCTGCCGCTGCCACCACTTCACCGCTGCTTCCCTGCCCACCTGCCTGCCCACGGTACAGATCCTGTACAGCGACTCCCTGCGCCAGGCCTGCACCCCCAAGTCTGCCGACCCTTACTTCCTGGCCTTCACCATCTTCGTGCTGGTGGCCTTCTGCCTGGAGGCGGCCGCCTCCTGCCTGGCCAACCCGCACTACGCCAAGAGGTGGGGCGGCAGCGGCAGGATGGCTGGTGTTTGCTGGGCTGTGTCTGTGTTGTGTGTGTGATTAGTTACGTGTGTGTGAGTGGTAATGCCGATTTCATCACGTTTAGGCAGGGTTTCGGCATCAGCAGCAGCCTCGGGCAGTCAGTTTCCCCGCCCCTCCCCTCCACCTCACCTGCCCTTCGCATATGCCTGCCCCCGCAGCTTCTACTTTGTGGTGGACGTGGTGAGCAGCGCGTCGATCCTGCTGGACATACCCGCCATCATGGACCCGGTCATCAACAGCGTGAGTGCGGTACAGTACTGCATGGTGTACCGCCCGGTCGGTGTGCCGCTTTGGAATACACAGCCGCCTCGAGCCTGGACCGGCCTGTGGCACAGCTGCTCCCCCAGCGCGCCTGCGCTGTTGCCGAGCGGCTCCCGCCGCCGCCCTTCCCTCCTCCCCTGCCGCGCAGGCCAACGACGGCAACGGCGACATGCAGCAGCGCGGGGGCCTGGAGAATGCGGCGCAGATCACGGCGGCCTCGACGCGGGCGGCGCGCCTGGCGCAAGTGACCAAGTGGCTGCGCCTGTTCCGCATCATGCGCCTCTGGGCCTTCTACTTCAAGCACAAGTGGGCGCTTGGGGCGGGGCCCGCAGGCATCGCAGTGGGCAGCTTGGCGGGGATGCAGATCAGATTCCAGCCGTGGCGCCTAGCTGCACCTCGCGGCGCTCTGTGAATGCTTGTGCGGGTCGGCCGCCCCTGCTGCCGCTGCCCTCCCTCCGCTGCCGACCCTGCTCTGTCTGTTTTGCTGCCTGCCCTGTGCCGTCTGCCCCCAGGCAGTACATCATCGACCGCCGCACTTTCTTCGAGGCTGAGCTGGAGGCCAGCAGCCAGAGCCGGGTGGGCGAGAAGCTGACGGAGCTCACCATCCGCAAGGTGAATAGACAATTTGGGGACTGAGAGACTGTCCATCGCTGGCGAACGCTGGCAGCGTGTCGGGGTGGGCTGGGAGGCAGCGGGGCCGCTGCGACCCGCAGCTCGCAGCCCGCAGCGCGCAGGCGCAAGCTCTCTCAACCAAGTCGCCCCATGCAAGATGATCTGACAGGTACTGTATGCGTGCCCCTCCCTCAAAACCCGTGCAGGTCGTCATCATGGTCCTAATCGTCATGTTTGCAATGCCCGTGTTTGATGTGTCGGGTGAGGCAGGCGGCCAGCGGGGGCTGGCTCGGGGAGGCGCCAGCGATGGAGGGAGATGCCAGCTTGGGAGGCACCAGGCGGGGCAGCCAATTACTGCCGCCCCGCCCAGGCCTTCCGCTGGCGCTGGTGCTGCCCCCTGGCCCACCGCGTCGCCAGCTGGCGTCTGGGGAGCGCGCCACGCAGCCGGCGTGTAATTGCATGCCCCCCACGCCGCGGCTGCAGTCGGGTACTACGGAGGGCCGCCCATGCTGGACAATGGTGGCCTCTCCATGCTGCACGTCTCCTATGGCGCGCTGGGCAACAGCAGCGCCTTCCAGGCCTCGCTTGAGGTGCGGGCGGGGCAGGCTGCAGCAGCCAGGGTGGCCGCGCCTGGTGGCGCAGCCGAGCCCCCGTTGGGACGTCCCTGCTGCCAGCTGATGCCCGCTGCTGCCGCCCCGTGTGCCGCTCCTGCTGTACTGCTCCTGATGTACCGTTCATGTTGTACCGCCTGCAGGTGTACATCGAGGAGACGCCGTACCGCCTGGGCCGAGGCCACACCGGCCAGATGACTGACCTGGTTGTGTTCAACAACACATTTGTCAGCGTGCCGGGTGGGTTGCCCGTGTGATGGGTGCGGCGCCAGCACCGCGTGTGGTGGAGCGGCGGTGGCGGTGGCAGCACAGGGGCAGGAGCAGGGTGGAGACGTGTGTGAGCGCCAGTGGGCGACGACGGCGGGGTTCGGCTTGGGTGGGGCAGGCGCCGCCTGACCCCGCCGTGCCTGTGCGCATGCAGGCGGGGTAGAGGGGCTGCGCACGACTGAGTTTGCCAACTACACCATGCAGGTGCCTTGCTGCCACTCTTGCTTCCTTCTTTCTTTCATCTTTCCACCTGCGCCTGCCTTGCTGCTTGCCATCGCCCTCCGTGCTGCATTGGGCCCAGCCCAGCACACGTCGCTCAGCAGCTGTGTGCCGGCCCTGGCCCGGCGGGCGCGCTGCAGAGCGGGTCGGGGTGCGCTGGCGGCGACGGCCCCTGCGACGTTTCCTTTGCCACATTCAACGTGCACTGGGACTCCCAGATACAGGTGGGCGCCGCGTGTTGGGGCGGATGGTGTGACGACGTACCTTGCCTGGTGTTGTTGTGCCGTGCAGTGCGGTGCCACGCTTGCTGCGGCTGAGGTGCCTGGCGATCGCATCTGCCACCTGGCGACCCGGCACACACCGCACACGCCACCACCGCCGCTGCCCCCTGTTGTTTTAAGGCAACACCCCCAAACCCGGTCCCCCTGCCCGCAGGGCCTGCTGGAGATTGGGCGCACCACCTTCATCATCATCATCTTGCTCATGGGGGCGGTGTGGTTCATCGCAGACACCGACAGGCTGGTGCTGCAGCCGCTGGAGCGCATGGTGGCGCTGGTGGGTGGGGTGGGGTGGGGGTGTGGGGGGTGCCCGCTGGGCTTCTGCTGGCCAGGGCTGCACAGTGCCTGGGGTGAGGGGCAGGGGCGCAGCAAGGGGTGGCGCTTGTGCATGCGGGAGAGCGGCAGCGCAGCGGTGCGGCCGCTACGCAAGGCGGCTCTGCCCACGGCCCCAGCTGGCCTTCCTCGAAACCGCGCCTGGTGCTACGCAATGTTCCCTCCGCGCCCCTGGCTGGTGCACATGCCCACGCAGCTGCCCGGCGCCACAGCTGCACCGGGCTCTCCTCACCCCTCCCTGCCGCGGATTGGCCGCTCCTCCCTTTGCAGGTGAAGGAGGTGTCTGAGAACCCTCTGGCCAAGGTGTCGCAGCTGGCGGGCGGCCGCAACGGTGCCTGCCCCGCCAAGGGCGGCGTCTCCGCCGCTGCCAGCATCAGCAGCAAGCAGGACAAGGCACTGGAGACGCAAGTCCTGGAGAGTTCCATCCAGAAGATCTGCTCCCTGCTGTCGGTGCGTGGCGGGCGCAGCAGCGGGGCGGCCGGGGGGGCGAGGCACGGGTGGCCAGTGGCGCAGGGCGGGGTGGCAGGGGCGCGGCTGGGCAGCGGCGGCCGGGCGTGGCAGGGGTTGGCCGAGGCGTGTCCCACCGCTCCCCTGGCTCCCCTCGCCACCCCGCTCTCGCTCCCTCACCACGCGCCTGTGCTTACCTGTGCCTTTCCCTTTACCCCCATGAACATTACCTTGCCTGCATGGCCCTACCTGCAACCCACCCTGCTCGTGCCTGCGCTCCTCGCCCCGCAGGTGGGCTTTGGGGAGGCGGGCGCCGAGGTGATTGCCGACAACATCAGGAGCGGCGGCGACCTGAACCCCATGGTCCCGGGCCGCAAGGTGGCCGCCATCTTTGGATTCTGCGACATCCGATCCTTCACAGGTGGGCCGCCGGCGTGGGCGGCGGCTTGGTGCAGGGCGTGGGCGAATGGGCGGGGCGCGGGTGGAGCGGCGAGGTCCGGCGTGCGGCCCTCCAGCCCGCCCCGTTCGGGCCACCGATCGGGTGCCCACGCGCCGCCTCCCCACCAACAAGGCCTGCAAGCCCTGGCCCACCCTGCCGCCGCCACCCCGCCCCGCCTGCAGACGCCACCGAGGTGCTGCAGGAGGACGTGATGGAGTTTGTGAACAGCATCGCACAGATCGTGCACCACGAGGTGGGCCGCCGGGGGTGGCGGCACACGTCTTTTCGTGTTTTTCTTGCACTGAGGGCGGAACCTGCAGCCCTGCCAGTGCTGCACCACACCTGGCCACCCTCTGCCATGCACCCCCCGCATGCGCTGCCCCACCGTCGCCTCCACACATGCCCCGTCCTTCCTTCCACGCACCTCCCATCGCCCCCGCAGGTGTCGCTGCACGGCGGCGCCGCCAACAAGAACATCGGCGACGCCTTCCTGCTGGTGTGGAAGCTGCCGGGCAGCCGGCGGGAAGCCGGGCGGTCCAGCCTGTCCCGCACGCGGTCCCAGGGCAGCGGCATCTCACGCATGTCCCGCGCCAGCTCGTGTGAGGCCGCCCGCCCGGGAGTTGTGTGGCGGCGCCATGTGTGGAAGGGTTGCCTCTGTGTGTGTGTAGCAGCGCTGTGTGAGGAGGGTTGCAGCTGCGGCAGCCACCCGCCCTTCACGCCGCCCTCTCACCACCGCCCACATCCATACACCGCGTATACCCCCCACACCCCCACATTCCAACCTGCAGCCCGCATCTCTATGCTCATGGGCTGCGACCGCGAGCCGGAGCGCAAGGAGGAGGCAGCCAACATCGCAGACCAGGCCCTGGCATCCTTCATCATCATACAGGCAAGCGGCGGTACTGCAGTCCCCCCGGTAGTACCCTCGGGGTGGAGGGCCCGCTAGCCGCGTGGCATGGACGCAGGCCCACACAACCGGGCACATGGCGGCATGCAATGCCGAACAGGTTGTGTGGCACTGCGAGCCCGGTGTGGCCTTGGCAGCAGCAGGGGCAGTGTGGCGCCGGCGGCAGTGCGGGCGCTGCTGCTGCTTTCTGAGCGCTGCGTGCCTGCGTCCCTGCCGTGCAGGCCGCCCTCAAGCGCAGCGCAAAGCTCAAGGAGTTCTGCAGCAGGTGGGGAGGGAGGGCTGGTGGCGGGGGTGCTGGGAGGGCAGGGCAGGCCTCGGCGAGAGGAGCAGGAGGGCCAGAGGGTGCCGGTGAGGAGGGTACATGGAGGAGGTGAGTGGGAGGGTATGGCCAGGATTGCCAGCCTGCCACCTCATATTTCCTTCTTCCCGGCCCGCAGGGAGGACCTGAGCCGCCGCCTGCCTGGCTACCAGGTCAACATGGGCTTCGGGCTGCACGTGGGTGAGCGAGGGAGGGGCCCAGATGGACAGCGCCAGCTGGCCGCCTGGCTGCACCAGACCCAGGCCGGCGCGCCCGCCGCAGCCGCCCTCCGCGGCCGCCTTCCGCAACTGCACTCCCGCCACCCTCCCTCCCTACCTACCTACCTACCTACCTACCTACCTACACACTCTCTCCACACTCTCTCCACACTCTACACGCACACTCTCACACTCCTCTCTCTCTCACGCACACACTCGCAATCGCAGGCTGGGCCATCGAGGGCGCCATCGGCTCCGAGCACAAGATCGACGCCTCCTACCTGTCGCCCCACGTCAACATGGCGTCCCGCCTGGAGGCCGCCACCAAGCAGTACGGCGCATCCATCCTGCTGTCAGACGACTTTGTGCGCATGCTGTCGCCGGGGGTCAGGTGCGCGGCTGGCTGGGGGGGCCTGTGGATGGGTGGGGCCGCTGTGGATGGGTGGTGGGCTGTGGACGGGTGGTATGTGGCGGGGAGGCTTAGCGAGGGCCCGTTCGCTTGCGTGTGCATGCCGTCGTCGGGGGTCGGGTGGGCGTGCTGTCGCCGGGGGCCCAGGCAGGGCAGCGGGCAGGGTGTGTGTTGTGGGGTAGGGAGAGGGCTGGAGGCGCTTCAGCGCATGTGGCCGCTGCGGCGCCACTGGCTGGCTGTGGCTGCGTTGGTGGCAGGCAGGGGCAGCCGCCAGGCGTGCAGCACTCCAGCCGAGTATCCGTTTTCGTTTCAGCCGGCACGCGCCGACAGTGCCGCTGATGGGATACCGCCTGCCCGTACCGCCTCCCCGTGCCGCAGGGCGCTGGTGCGCCAGGTGGACTGCGTCACCGTCAAGGGCTCCACCAAGCCCGTGGGCCTCTTCACCTACGACGTTGACCTGGGCGGCCTACAGGGCCTGCGCCTCAGCCAGCAGAAGTCGGTGGGTGGGCCTCCTCTCCTTTCTTCAGTGGTGGGGGGGGGCTGGGGGGGATGGGGGCGCCAACCATGGCTGGGCGGGGGGAACCTGGCGGGCTGTGGGGGCTGCAATGCAGCCAGCAGAAGTCGGTGGGCGGGCTGGCGGGGCGGTTGGATCTGGGTTGCGGCTGGAGGAAGGCGGCAGCTGCAGCCGCTGAGCCCCGCCAGCCTACCATGCAAGCCTGTCCACCCACCCACCCTGCAGCTGATGCGCCTTGCCTCCGCGACCTCCTCGGTGGCGGAAGACGCGGCGGCGGGCGCGGCGGCAGCGGCCGCAGCGGCCGTGGCGGCCGACAAGGCGGCGGTGCTGGCCGCGACGGCGGCGGCGGCGGGCAGTACGGCCAGCAGTACACGGCCAGAGCGGTACGAAACCTTCTCCTGTCGCAAGTACAGCGACGAGTTTGCAGCTGGGGCTGGGAGCCTGTTCCCCCTCGCCTGCTGCCATCCTCCACACCTGCCACCTGCTGCCGCCGAGGCCAGCGGCCCCAGCCGCCGCCTCCAGCCCTCCCGCACGCACGCATGCACCAGAGCACGCCTCGCCTCACCACATCACCTCACCGCCGCCGCCCCTGCAGAGCACCCCGACATTGTGATGTCCCGGGGCGCAGACGCCGACTTTCTGGCCAAGTTTGGGGCAGGTGGGGGGTGGCCTGGCTGCTGGGCATACGTGCTTTTTCACAAACAGCTGTTGGCGTGGTTGTGGCTGTGGTGGTGGTGGTGATGGTGGTGGTGGCGGCGGTGGCGGTGGCGGAAATCGTGCTGTGTGAGCGGGTCGATGACCTGGCGCCAACCCTTGCCCTGTCCCTGCCACCCCCACCTGCCCCGGTAGGCTTCGAGGCGTACCGCTCCGGCGACTGGGCCGCCGCCCGAGGCGTGTTCATGGAGACGCTGACCATGCGGCAGGACAGAGCGGGGGTTCCCATCCAGGACGGCCCCAGCGCCACGCTGCTGCGGTGAGGGAGCAGGAGGCTGACCCGTCTGCTGCCGCTGCCACTGCTGGGGCCGCAGGTGTTGCTGCTGCCGCTCTGGTGCTCCAGGCTGCTGAGTTAGCTGCTGCTGCTGCTGCACGCCCCACACTCTGCATCCTGTGCTTCCGTGCCGCATGCTGCCTCCCAACGGCCTTGGGCCCTGCCTGCCCCCACTCTGCCAAGCGCAGGGTGATGGCGGGACACGACTTCCGGGCGCCCGTCAGCTGGGCCGGCTTCCGGGAGCTGACGGAGAAGTAGGGCGGTACCGACTGGACCACGCGGACCGCTGTGGGCTGGCCCGTGGGCAGCGCTGAGGTGCCGTGGCCTCTGGCTCACAGGGCGACACCTCCCCTGGCCAAGCTGGCAGCTTCCCCTGGAGTCCAAGCGATGTCCAGTGTCCCCCAGTCACTCCCACTTCCATAGCCGCCACGCAGTTTGCTTGGCGCCGCAGCGCTTTGGATGATCTGTTTGCGGCGCCATCGCTGTTGTCTTCTTTTGCATTCTTCTTTGAACGCACTCATCAACCAGCGCCAGGCATCTCATTAATGGGTGGCCCGTGCTGCCCTTTTTTCTCCTCGTACTGCCTTTGTAAGCCTCCTCAATAAGTGGAGCGGCTGCCACCACTGCCGCCACCACGACACGGGTGGCACCTGTGGCTGCCGAGCACCTCGCTCTTTCCGCCCGCCCCACCGGCGATCATGCTGCTCACGACCTGAACAGGTAACTTGTTGCAGGGCAGCGTATGATACAGGAATGTGTGTGCGCGTTTGAATGATCGCTGTGGAGCGGCAGCGAGCAGGGAAAGCAGGCAATGGGGAGCAAGCAAGTAGGTAGGGGCAAGCAGGGGCAAAGAGGGGGTGCGCCGCCGCTTTTAGGCGCGTTCAGATGTGGGCCAAGAGAATCAAGGCAGCAGTGCAACAATTCAGCGAGTGCTGCCTGCCGGCGCTAGCTGCGGTCTCGGTCTTGTGGGAGTCTGCTGCTGCAGCGACGGCAGCAGCGCAGGGCGCGGGCCCTCCCTCACAGGCCCATGGCAATGATGATGTCCTGCACCGGCAGCGGCGGCAGCAACAGCATAGGTCTATACAGGGCGGGCTCGCTCCCAAGCCCCAGACCTATCTCTCGCTCCTCTCGCTGCCGTCTCCTGAGTGCTCCCTGTGTGAAAAGGCAGCCCCTGCAGCTCTCCCCGACCCGCCAGGACCCAGCCACCCCAGCCGCATGAGTTCCTCCCTCGCATCTCCCTCCTTTCCACCCCGCCCCACCCACCTGCGCCGGCAGGGTGAGGAAGTCGTGCAGCTCGCGCCCGATGCACATCAGCTTGGTGAGGAAGGCGGCGTCCAGGTACTCGCCTGCGGGGAGGAAAGGAGGCGGGGGGAAGAAAGAATGGAAGGCGCATCCGGGTACGCCGGCTGGGCCCCCGGCTGGGCTGCACTCGGGCATGTCGCTGGCAATAGAGCGGCAGCCCCCAATCCACACCCAAAGTGAGGTGCTAGTACTCTGGCTGCCTTTCTTCTCGATCGCTTGCTGGCTCACCTGCCGCGAAGGCCTCGCTGCCGCCCAGCTCCCGCCGGATGATCTGCAGCTCCTCCTCAATCACCTGCCGCACCAGGCCTGCACCCAAGGGCGAGGTAAGGTCGCACGAAGGGACGAGTTAGGATGGAAGGAGAGGGTGGGGATGCACAAATCCTCACACACAAGTATCTGGATGGTGGTGGTGCTGCAGCGGCAGCTGCGGCAGCGCTCACCTGGGGTGCACACCTTGCTGCCGTCAAGCGTAGCGCCGTAGCGCACCCACTGCCACACCTGCGGGCGTCGGCGGCAGCAGCGGGGCCAGCCGCGTTACTCAACATGGCGCGAGGGCTGAGCTTGGCCAAGCTCTTCTTGCCTGCTGGCCTGCTGGCGCGCTGGCCACAACAAGCTGGGCTTAGTAAGTCGGCGTCCGGCACGGCAGGGCCAGGCACCTGCGCGCGCGAGATCTCCGCGGTAGCTGCATCCTCCATGAGGTTGTACAGCGGTACGCATCCCGTACCGCCGATCCACGCCGCCATGTACCGGATGCACACGGCGATGTTGTTGCGCAGCGTGGCCTCGGTGCGGGGGCCCTCGGGCACCTGCTTGGAGCAGGGCAGGGGGCCGGAAATGAGCGTGTTGGCAGGCGAGGCGGGGTCGGGAAGGGGTGCTGGGCAGGGAGGGGCGAAGGACGGGCAGGGGAGGTGAGCGGGACAGGGAGGCTGCCGGGGGTCGGCGCCAGCAGCCATGCAGAACGAATTGTACAGCCGGCGAATTGCAAGCGCACCTGCAGCAGCGCCTCGGCATCCGGCTGCACGTCGTCGCGCTGCCGGCTGATCTGGTTGGGCGTCTTCATGTGCTCGTCAAACACCTGCAGGGTGGTGGTGGTGGTGTGTGTGTGTGTGTGCATGTGTGTGTGTATTTGTGTGTGTGTGGCGGGGGGTAAAAACGTTGGCGGCAGGATGCAGGGGGTCGTGCGAAAGGGGGTGGCGGCAGTGACTGGCAGCCGCAGGGACGGCAGCGGCTGCCAGCTGCCAGCTTTTTGCGTGTATTCGCAGCTGGAAGGGGTGCGTGCAGAGCACCCAGCCGCAGCCTGCACCGCCGCTGCGCAGCCAGCCTGCCCTCCCGCCTCCTCCCTCCCCACGCTGCCATGCCGTGCCAGCCTCGCCCCCCGGGGCCTCCCTCACCTCCTTTGCGATGGGGATGAGGGCGGGGTGTGCTACCCAGGTGCCGTCGTGCCCATCCTGCACCTCCCGCAGCTTGTCGGCCCGCACCTTGTCCATCACCGCCTGCAGGGCAGGGCAGCGGAGGGAGCGGCGCCATCAAGGGGTGGGCGGCGGCAGCGGGGCAAGGCACCGCGGCAAAGGCACCGAGGCAGGGCAGCTGGGGTGTGTTGCCGGGGCGAGGAGGATGGCAGCAGGGGCCAAGAGCCGCCGCCGCCGCCGCCATCAGCACCACACTCGCCCGGCACCCGCACAAAGACAGCACGCCCCACGCTACACCACACCACACCACACCACACCCCGCCCCAGATCTAACAAAACAAACAGCACCTGGTTGGCGGCTGCGTCGTTCTTGATGGGAATCATGGCGCTCATGCCGCCCATGGCGAAGCAGCCACGCCTGTGGCACGTCTTCACCACCAGCTGCGGCGGCGGGGGGCGGGGGTGTGGGAGGTTGTGCGTGTTTGGAGGGGGGCCGGCGCGGGTGGAGGCAGGCGGGCAGGGGCTCAGAGTGGGGCCAGGTGGCGACTAGAGCGGGGGAGGGAGAGAGCCAGGGCGGGCCTGAGGCGGCGGCGGCAGCCTCAGGAAACTCCACCACCGCCGCCACCGCCACCGCCGCCGCCACCACCCCCCCCACCACCACCACCACCACACACTGCACCCACACCACCACCACACAAGCACGCACCTGCGTGTATGCGCGCATGAAGGGCATCTCCATGGTCAGGTAGCTGCGGTCGGGCATGACACGTGTTGGGTCGCTGCAGGGGGTGGAGCGGCGGGGAGGTGGGGGGGGTGAGTAAGCGGCAGGGGGTGGTGGCACGGGAGGTGGGCAGGTGGAAAGGTGGGAAGATCGGCGACGGGGTCTCCAGCTGGGCCGGCAGGCAGCGGAGCAAGCCGTAGAAGGCATGCCCGCCACCGCCACCGCATGCCTGCGCATCGTCTTGATGAAGGAGAACATGTAGTCCCAGCGCCCGCAGTTGAGGCCTGCGGAAGGGGGGGGGCAGGTTGGGAAGCAGGGCAGCAGGCGTGCCTTGTGTGGAGAGGGTGGTGATCAGCGGGGACACCCATGCATCCATGCCGCGGGCAAGCCGCAGCGCTGGCTAGCCGCCCGCCTCGGCAGTGTGCACAGCGACTGCAGCCTCCCCAGCGGCGCCTGAGCACGGGCGCGGTGCAGCAGCAGCGCTGCAGCGGTAGCGGTACCGCAGCGGTACACCCACCCGCCATGTGGTCCCGCAGCTCGTAGATGAACTCGTCCATCTCAAAGGCGGCGGGCAGCGTCTCGATCAGGCAGGTGGCCTTGATGGTGCCTGCGGGCGGGGAGACGAGCGGGCACGGAGGGTGGTGGTGAGGGGAGGTGGGGAGCAAGGTCCGGGTGGTGGTGAGGAGAGGTGGAGAGCAAGACTGGGGAGGCGCGTCGCGAGCCACCGTCTACTGCTGCAGCCAGCCGCCACAGGCGGCACTTTCGGCGGCGGCCGCGGGCCTCAAGCCTGCTGCCGCCACCGTGGCCGGCACCGCCACCAGCATACGCCCCCGCTGCGGCCCGCCCTCACCGTTGGGGATGCCCAGCTCCCGCTGCGCCTCCACAAACACCTCGTTCCACAGCCGGCACTCCAGGTGGCTCTGCATCTTGGGCCTGCAGCGGCGGCGGCGCGGCAGCACGGCCTCTCACCCTGCCAGCAACAGCAAGCAGGCCAGGTGGCGCGGGCCAACGCTATCGCAGGCAGGCAAGCCTTGGGGGCCAGCCCGCCGCCATGCGCGCTCACAGGTAGAAGTAGGGGCCGTGGCCGGAGGCCAACAGCTGGCGGGCGTTGTGGTAGAAGTAGAGGGCAAAGTCGAAGAGGGCTCCCGGCACCGCCTCGCCGTCCACCAGCACGTGGTGCTCCCACAGGTGCCAGCCTCGAGGGCGCATGACCAGCGTGGCGCGCGGGCCCTGCCGGGTGGTGGTGTGGGTGGAGGGGAGGTGGGGTGGGGTGGGCGAGTGTAAGGGGTGGGGGTGGAGGGTAAAGGAGGAGCAGGGTGGAGGAGGGGGAGGGGCGTAGCGTCAGCGGATGGCGTTTGCAGGCGGGGCCAGGGCAGCGGCAGGCAGAGCAGGGAGGCGGGCTGGCGTGCAGGGGGCCTGCCAGCCGCCAGACGGCCATCACCCCGACCGCACCCCGGCAACCACACCCAACACCGATACCCACATCCACACCCACACGCTGGCAGCCAGCCTCGACCCACCTCCTTCAGCGCATACTTCTTGCCGCTGCGGGGGTCCTCGTAGCTCACGGTGCCGCGCACAGCATCGCGCAGGTTGATCTGCGCAGGGCGGCGCGGGGTGGGCGTGCAGGCGCAGGTGCGGGAAAGGGAGAGGCGCGTGGGCAGGAGAAGCTGGGTGCATGGGTTGGAGGCGGGCGCGCCAGGGGCATGGCAGCGCAGGGAGGGGAAGGGAGTGGCAGCCGCAGGCGCAGGCGCTGCCCCACACGAACGCCGATGCACCCGCCGCCATCCACCCACCCACACCGGAGAACACACCCACTGGGCCGGCGGCCCGCGGACCGGCACCGCCAACCCACACACACAGCTTGCACAGCGTGCACAGCGCAGCCCACCTGCCCCTCCACCATGTTGTCCCAGGTGGGGCAGTTGCTGTCCTCAAAGTCGGGCATGTACACATTGGCGCCGCTGCGGGGGGGAAGGTACAGGTTAAAGGTGAAGGCAAACGTGAAGCGCCGGGAGCAGCGGGACGTCAGGCGCGCCGCCCGGCACGCGGAGCAGCAGCTTCCTGCCCACGGGGACAGCCCCCCTTC